ATAATTATTATTGCTGTCAATCAATCATTTACATAACGCTTAACAGAATAAATACATTTTACACAAAAATAAATTAATTGAATACTTTTGTAGTCATAAATCACTGGGTTATGCAAGCGATGGTAAAATAATAATTATGGAATTTCTCATTAACATGCAAAGCATAAATGTAAATTATGCAATAAATATTTAATTCTGCAAAAAATATTTTGTACTTAATAAAAATCATGATTTTGAAGAATATCATAAAAATATAAATAAGTCGTTATAACAATCATGTTTGCAATTATCTCATTTTCATAATTGCCGTTTAGTATAAATTCTTGTACATAAATGTGAATATAATTTGTACATTTAATTCATTACATAAAGTATTTACAATTACATACATATGTATGCGTTTATTGTGTCATTTACATAATAGTCCCGACAATTATCTCTAAACTGAAAGCAAAAACAAATCAATTACTCGAATCTCATAATCAAAAATCAATTAAATTCTTCACATTTACAATAACTCAAAAGAAACACAATATTTTGGTTAATATCAGTTATTGAATAATATTCATCAATAATAACTTATGATTTAGGCATTAGTTGTCAAGGATTTAATGCCTTATTTGTTCATAAAAATTATTATCATTTCTATTAATAAAGCATGATTAATATAATATTTAGTAATTTGTGGTTTCTAACTAGATCGATCACGTCGGTCACCCCTCCTGGCAGGCACAGGTGAAGGGAGCGAAAAAGTGGATTCTTGAACCCCCGCCTGAATGCTATACAACGTGTCAAGTGTTGGAAGTAATCGTCAATTCCGGAGAAATTAGTAAATATGAGATTCAATGCATAAAATTTCCAAGTTTTACAAAAAATAATTTTTTTAGTTGTATTGGACACTAATCAATGGTATCATCAAACATTTATTGTGGGCCAACAGATTAGTATCACTATTGGATCAGAATATGATTAAATATAAATTGCTAAAAATACATTTATTTTATTCATAATATTATGACAAATATGTTCGTCTTATGTAACCCTTCGTCTTATGTATACCCTTGGTAACTTCAAAATATCACTTATAGCAGCATTAGTAATACAAGAATAAAAATAGTAAGTTATCATGTTTTTGTGTCAGTATTTAATACAAATAGCAGTAAACTTTACATGTAGTAATATGACTAAAATACGATAACTAATTATTAATACTGCTATAAATGGTTTTTGGCTTTTTGCAATAAGTTACCTATAGAGTCTTATAGATACATATAAAAATAACCTCAAATACATAAGTTATGTATTATATAACATACTGTAACTTATTGACAATAATTATAATTTTAATAATAACAGTAAAACACAGACAAACACATAAAATACAGTATCTCATGAAAATATATTGTAATTGACTTTAAATCGAAAACCGGAATCTAATGTCACAATATATACAGGAAATTATTATAACATAAAATTTTGTTTGTAATAATAATTTACACTATTCTTGTATTTTTAGAATTTAAAACCAGGTTTAGTTTTCTTTATGCCAACAATTGTTCAATTTTTTAATTCTTCCTTTTATTTCTAAAGTAAATATCAACTAAAGTATATAATATTTATATAAGAAGTAATAATTACATAATAATAATACTTTCATTTAATAACTGTATATTTATGTCAAATGATATACGAAAGACACATTCAGTAAAAATACAAAAATAAATAATATCCCGGAGTTTCTCTTATAACGTATGGATCCTTAAAATTGTTAAGACATTTAAATTATATAAGTTTATAAAATAATCTTTTAATGTTTACATGTAATACTTGTTGACCTCATATGATATGAGGACTAAATTGATTAAAAATAGCATTTAATTTAACAATTTTAATACAGACTCTATAATAAAATGTGTTAAATATGATTAAAATATGAATTCATGTTTTATAGCAAAATAAATGACAAAATATTGCAAATTAGAAATTCTTCGACCAATTGTTTTTCACACGAATTTCTTTTC